AGGAGGGAGGGGGGTGAGAGGTGGGAAGAGGGGGAGGAGGGAGGAGAAAAGGGATCCTTCTTTTTTTTTTAGTTTACTAGTATTGTTTTACTTTATAATATTTAACATATTTAATGCTTTTATGAAAACATTCTCATTTAATTTTTTTTTTAATTCAGTGGGTTGAGTTTTTTGTTTTTTGTTTTTGTAATACTTTAGAATATTGATGTAAATTCCCATCAACTATCAGTTCTCTAAAACTGCAGGGTTGTGTTTTTTCCCTTTTCTTGTTTTTTTTTTTTTCCGTTAATTATGAACGTCAATTTCCAATTATCATTTCTTTAAAAGTATTCATACAAGAAAGTAGTCACTAGATCTAATTGCTGGAGAAACTTTTTTATTACTTGATCATGATTTTTCTAAAGATATTTTTTAGTTGGTCCATGGTCTGCATAAGTGATGTGCAAAGTTTTGAGGGCATAGTCAAATTAATAAGTGATCTAGAATTTTTTTTTTATGCGGACAGAGGAAAATGAACTAGTTATGACCTATTAAGTTTTTATTTGTGTCCTCTGTACTTTCAGACCGATGCAAGCCTCAACGTCTCAACCACTCGGTACTTTTAGTTGGCTACGGTCGAGAAGGTCCAAGAGATTTTTGGAGAGTCAAGAACTCTTGGGGCAAAGACTATGGAGAGGAAGGATATTTCCGGATAGAACAAGGTGCAGGCGCGTGCGGTATAAACAGACAGGTCACCACGGTAACGCTAGAATGATTGAATCACCACGGTAACACTAGAATGATTGCATCATCAGTTCTTGATGGAGTTCAGAGATGATTGTTCCCACATCCACGAGAAGAAGAAAACTAGGACCTAATTATGGAAGTTTTTGGGGGGTTTTTGGTTGTTTTTTTTGTTTTGTTTTTGGAATACTTAAAAATATTTATGTTAATTCATGATTCATCAATTTTTTAATACTGCTCGGTTGCTTTTTCTTTTATTGTTAAAGATTAACAAAGTAAACTGGGAAATGTGATTCTCACCATCATACTTCTTCGCTATTTTCTCTACGTAGTTCCCAAGAGGTGTTGGTATTTGTTTGTTTCTTTGTTTGGTTTTTGTTTTTGTTTGTGCTGAGCAATTTGATGCAAAAAAAACTTTGAGTCTCACATCATGTCAAACTTTTTAAACGTAATTCTTTGAATATCTTGATAACGACTCCAATAAATAATGTTACCATTTTGATAGAGCAGATAAAACATCTGGTGAGTGACCTCATGGTCTTTGTAACTCAAACAGACAAAAATGTCAGGTATAATTCTAAGGTAGGAATTAGTGGCGTCGGTGGCCTAGCGGTTAGGCTCTCGGACTTGCAACGTTAAGGTCGTGGGTTTGAATTCCTTCAGGGGCTCAACGTTTTGTCCTTGGGAAAGGCATTTTACTCTAATTTTCTTCACTTCACCTAGGTGGGAATGGGTGCCCAGCTATAGTATAGACAGTGAAAGATTTTGTTAGTTTGTTTGTGTGAGCGTGTAATCAGTTGCCTGCACTGTATGCTTCCCGGAAAGCTGAGAATGTTTCTGAGTGTTCTATGATCTGCTGGGGTAATAATATAGTGTAAAACCCATAGAGCTAGCTGTTGAGCGGGGGTGTGCACTATACAAAATGTTATTTATTATTATTTATTTTTAGTGGGGCAATCCCCCACCCACCCACGTCTCTCCTTCAATTACCTTCTGAGCTGCTCTTGGCCTTGAGACAGGAATCGCAGCAGTTGGCGCGAATGTTCTCGTCGTAGCAAGCGTTTTTCTGTACGGCGATGTATTCACTGCATGAGTACCTTCCTTCTATAGTCACCACACGGTCTCCATACGGGCATTCTGAGACTGGGGGGAGGGGGGGGGGCAATTCTTTGTGTTAGTATACTTGTTGTTGTTGTTGTTGTGGAGCTGGTGGTGATGGTGGAGGTGTTGTTGTTGGTGGTGGTGGTGGTGGTGGTGGTGTTTTGTTGTTGTTGTTGTTGTTGTTATTTTCATTGTGTTGTTCGTATTGTAGTTGTTGTTGTTATTGGTGGCAGTGGTGTTTTTGTTTTTTTATGGTTTATGTTCTTGTTTTGTCGTTGTTTTGTTGGTGTTGTAGTTGTTGTTGTTGGTGGTGGTGGTGGTGGTGCTTTAGATTTGTAGTTGTTGTTGTTGGTGGTGGTGGTGGTGGTGGTGGTGGTGGTGGTGCTTTAGATTTGTCGTTGTTGTTTTTGGCATTGTTTTGTTGGTATTATAGTTGTTGTTGTTGTCGATGATGGTAGCTAAGGAGTGATGATGGTAGTGGTGCAGCTGATGGTGGTGGTGGTGGTGATGGTGATGTTGACATTGCTGTTGTTTTGTCATTGTTGTTGTTGTCGTTGTTGTTGTTTTCAGAAATCGTGTATAGCGTCGTTACAATATTAGAAAGAAACACCAAAGAAAAGAGACAAAAACCTCAAAGAACAATCAAGAGGAAGTAGTCAGAACGGGTGATTGTCAGAACGGGTGATTGTCTGTACGGGTGATTGTCAGAACGGGTGATTGTCAGAACGGGTGATTGTCAGAACGGGTGATTGTCAGAACGGGTGATTGTCTGTACAGGATGATTGTCTGTACAGGAAGTAGTCAGAACGGGTGATTGTCTGTACGGGTGATTGTCTGTACAGGAAGTAGTCAGAACGGGTGATTGTCTGTACAGGAAGTAGTCAGAACGGGTGATT